AGTTTGCTACATTAATTGGAGTTATCAAACAACTCAGTTTAAACACAACACTGGTTAGTTCTGATTACAGAAAAAAAAGTTTATTATACTACAAACAGCTAAGTTTTACGTGAGTGCAAGTATAAAGTATTAAAGCCAGAAATGGTTACAAGAGAAATACAGATAAAATGCTTCCTAGTAGGTAAGACTTGACAAACCAGATTTGATTCAAAATAAAATTTTTAGCTCATTTTCCCAGCAACATAGCAAACCAAATCCTCTAGTCAGAATCTGACCTAAAAGTCCAAAGGGTTGGGTCCTTTTGTCTTTTTTTTTTTTAAGCTAAAAGAGGGAGTGAAAAAGAATTGCTGGGATGTTTTTACCCCTCCATCCTATATTCTTCGAAGTGGATTCATGTAAGGATTACCCCTCTATGCAAAGTGTATTCAATCAGTAAAGATGGTCATTTGTAGTCTGGTCCTGAATGTACCCTCCCGCTGCTTTTTCTTCACACTGTCCATGTTGAAATGCAGATTTGCTTTGTCTCCTCTGTCTCAAGGACCTTGCTTACTACTTATATATCAAGTTAGGTAAATAAACTTTCCTTTAAGATAAACCTGTTTAACCACTCTTGCCTATCAGGCCTACAAGGGTTTAGACATGTGCTACCAACATCATACAGGGGAAAGTTATAATTTTACATATAGTGTTGTTGCATACATTTCACCATTATATTATTGATCTGCAAATTATTAGTATTCAAATAACAACTCACAAGGCATATTTAATACAGATTATTACAGCGGTATGTAGGATGTGTCAACCCAATGTTCTAGTAATTTTACCTAAATCCCATTTCCTTATTTCACTTCAGGGATGTAAGAGTTTAACCAGTTAACTGATAAGCTGATGCTTATCCATTCCTATTACCGTTTAAACTCTGCTAGCCCATTTAACCATGTATCTGATGAAATTTTGGTCAGTTTCACAGTTAATATTTTTACATCCCTAGTTCACTTATGAGACTGTCATGTGGGACTGTGTCAGAAGCATTATTGAAAAAATAATAATCAAGATTCTGCTTCTCCTCTTCCCCCAACCACACCAATAAATCTGTCAAAGAAGAAAATTAGGTAGTTTGGCATGATTTAGTCTTAACAAATCCATGTTAACACACACATATAATCCTATTGTCCTTGCAAATTGATTAATACAATTTGTACATTTGTTCCACTATCTTTCCAGCTATTAAATTAGGCAGACCGATCTACAATTCCCCCTTTTTAGAGAGAGATACTATGTTTGCCCTTCTCCAGTTCTCTGGGATCTCCTCTGTCCTCAATGGGAACACACTTCTTTGTAAGTATAAGTGAAAGTTGGAGAATTAGGGTGATCACATCAACTTCATAATAATTCACAACATCATAAAAAACATTTACAATACAAACTATTATTAGAAGGTTAGAGTGTATTTTTTTTAAAATTCACCCAGGCTTGAAACATTTGACACCTACTAGCCAGAGATTGATATGCAATGTGAGACAAGGACATTATCAATAAGGTTGAGAAAGAATATCCTGGTAAGAAATACATAGTTCCTAGGAAGCACAGGGGGAGGGGGAGAACTAGCCTATCAAAGTACTGCCTCTTTACACTCCTTGGGAATCCTTCCCATCATTTTCTGGATAGTAGGTTTGTCATAAATTTAAAAGTCTTCCTTCCATCTTACTGACAGAATTCTCCTCTTCCCCACAGTCTACTTTATTACCTCTAGAGTAACTCATAGTTTTACTAAGTATCAGTGAAAGTGACATGATTGTCAGTTTCACCACTCACCAACAGCAAAATATACCAATCCCGTCAATTTCTCTGATGCTACTTGAGAAGCCATAAGCTACAACACAGCATCAGAAAAGCTGTACACATGGAGTCTCAAATAGACAAGAAGGCTGTCTTTGCAACCCCAAGTGACAGAAACCCAATTATATTTTAAAATGTAAATTTGCATTCTGCACAAACTGATGGCTGAAAGAACTCTGTTAAAACTGTAAATACTCTTCTCCGATTAATTTCCACTATTACAATTATCCACTCACTAGCGACAAATGCATGAGTTGATTTTTAAACAATTAGAACAAAGGGACGTGAATAGTAGAATAAAAACATGAACTGTTTCTATTCTACTTTGACTTGATGTGGGACACCAAGGCAATTACTTTGTTTCCACCATGCTTAATTCCTCCAGTTTCCCAACAGAGCTGTAAAATAGAGATACTGCTACTCATCTTCATCACAGGGGAATATGAGGTTTAACAGAAAATTGAGTTCTATAAAAACATTTTTGAGATTTATAAGATCACCTTTCATCCAACAGTGTAAAACACAGACTTTGGAAAGTGAAAGAGACAAAGGGAGAATAACTAGTCAGTTATTTTAAAATGTAATGTGAAAACTATGCATTAGTCTGAGCTCTTATTTAAGAAACTTATTTTATATAATTTTGTCTCAGAAAGACAGAGTAAATTCTGAAGTCAGAAATCCTCCTCTGAAAATGCTTTCATTTAAACTCCCACATTTGAGCCTTTTTAACTTGCACAGAATGTTTTCAAACTTAATCTCAAATTAAAGGATTTTTTGTAAGGAGCCAGGAACAGAAAAATGGCTGGAAGCAAATTCTAGAAGGAATGTAGGGGTTAGAGGACTATGAGAAAGTACAGCATTAAGTATTTTGAGACAGCTCTCAGTATTTTTTGGCCACTTGATGGCAAAGCAGCAACACCCATCATTAGAAAATAGTCTAAAACTCGTTGTCATACATTTTGTCCTCTAGACACCAAGCTTGGTGCCACTCCCCCCCCCCCCCCCCCCCCTGCCTCACATTCTATTTCCATTGGCTAAACAGAGCATCACTACCCCCCTCTTCATTCTCTTCCACTGATTAATAAAAAGTCTACTCCTTCTCCCCCCCCCCCATTCTGCATGTCCCAACATTGTTGCCCACACATGCCACACCAAGCACCTGCATGCACCCCCTCCTCTGCCCAGGTGACCTACTGACCATCATCTCTAGCTTGCATAGACATGGTGTCCTAACCACTGGCTCCATGCTGACACCTGGCCTCCGCCATTACCACCCATTTCCCTTCCCCCAGACAGTCACCGCTGTCCTACAAACAGCTTTAGCGGGTTCTAGCAGTCACAGGCAGCCAAGACCGACCTAACAGTGACTGAAGCCAAATACTCACCCAGCAGCTCCTGGCTCCTGTGCAGAAACCTCCAGCCTCCTCCAGAGCAGTGAGAAGTACAAGCTCCCACGACTAATCTCCCACCCAGGAGCAATTTAACCATCCCTTTGCTGCTGCAGTTCAGCCACAAGGAGGCTGCCATCTTGCTCTCCTCCCACTCAAGGCTAGGGCTGTCCGACTCACTGCCTGACAGAAAAAATCCTGCCCCTAAATATCGCACCAAACATTAGCAACCCCTTGAAGCCAGGGCTAACGTGTGGTCATCTGTGTGCGCACCTACTCCTCCTCCTCCTTCCTTGCATGCAGACTAGCCATATCCCTGCACAAGCAAAATCCACACACTTCTATTCAAAATGCCTTATGACAAACTAGTTAAGGTTGCTGAAGGGTAAGGATCAGCTTCATCTGTGTCAAGCATCTGCCTAGGGTAAAGATTCAGGTGGTGGTTAGGTCCCCACTAATAGCCTTCTTATTTCACTGTTGCCAAATCTGAGCATTCAAAAATCATGAATCAGCCTAAAATAATGAAATTGGCTTAAAATGAATGATTACAAAAATAAAATTGGGGCTTGTTTACTATGAGGTTTTTGAACTATAAGAGTTCACTTGAATCACTTTTTTCAAGCTGTCCTCCACAGTGACCAAATTTTATTTTTGACTCCTAACTCAAGAAACTGGAAATTTAAAGAAAGGACCAAAGAAAAAATCATGATACAGTCAGGAGTGTTGGCAACACCTCTGTATACTTTTAATAGCACATGGAGGCTAGGCCCCACTGCGCTAAGCAAGGTCTGAACAAGGTCAAACTCCTGTCTAGGGATGTGAAGGACTAGCAGACTATCTGATAAGCAAATGCTTATCCAGTAGTCGACTAGTTGCTCCCTACCACACACACACCTTTCTGCCTCTGTCAAAAAGAGGCAGCAAGGATGGAGGGGAAGAAGAGGGGGTACTTCAAAGCAGCTGCTCCCTGTGGAGCCTGGGACCAGACCCCGCTCTCCACAAGGTGCTGCCACTTTGAAACACCATGTGCACAGAGCATTTCAAAGCAGCACCCGACCTGTGGAGTCCAGATTCATCTGCGGATTCCCTTGCTGACCCAGGCTCTTCACTGTGTTTCATAGGGGCAGAACTAGTGGAGCCTGGGATCAGTGGAGGTGTCCCCAGCTGACCCTGGGCTCCATGCTGAGCTTTCACCTTTCGCTACACTTAGAAGGTGAAGGCCTCCTACGAACTAATTGAATAGTCCATGCAAAATGCATCCACTATTGAATTAGTCAATCACTAGACATTTAACATCCCTACTCCTGCTCCAAAAAGCACAACAGCAGGCGTGTGTCAACCAGGATCTGCATGTCCCAAGCGTGATGCACAATAGTAAAAGGCTCCCACCTCCTCCTTCCTTTACGTGCAGGAGCCACCTGTCTCCCACCTCACCCCGCTGGCCCCCTAACTCAGCCCCCGCTGCCCTGGCTGGGTCAAGCCCAGGCAGCAGCTCAGGTAACGCCTCTTTCCTCCCCCCGGTGAAGGAAGCATCTGGCCTCCCGCTGTGCGCTGGGGCCGCCTCAGCCACGCGGGCTCTGGGCTGGGCCCGGCCTCAGTGGCCAGCCGGGGGGGGGGGGCGGC